CCAAGCTGATCTTCCTGTGTGTTGATTCTTCCAATTCAAGAACATGGTGTATCTCTCTGTCTGTTTGTATCATCTTTAATTTCTTTCATCAGTGTCTTATAGTTTTCTGCATACAGGCGTTGTGGTCAGAAAAGATACTTGATACGATTTCCATTTTCTTAAATTTACCAAGGCTTGATTTGCGACCCAAGATATGATCTATCCTGAGAATGTTCATAGTGGTTGTTTTAAAATAAGGCCTCCTATAGAGAAGTGGTGTCTATGCCCCCTCCCCTTGAGTATGGGCTCTATAACTGCTTGACTAACAGAACATGGCAGAAGGATGCTGTGTCATTTTCTGCATCCAGATCTTAAGAAATTGGTAGCTTCCACTTCCTGTTTCTTAGGACACTCACTCTTGGAACCTAAGTAACTTGTGTGAGGAAGCCCAAGCTGCCTTGTGGAGAGCAGTCAGCACCAATTTTCCTGCCATGTGAATGAACCATTTTGGGAACGGTCTTCCCCGTCCCACCCCAGTCCCCGAGCCCCTTGTGGTTCCCCTGTTCTCAGCAGAGCAGGAAATATGAGACATAAGCTTGGAAAGCAGTTCCTACGGTACTTCTGCTCATGGTTACAATGTTCCTCCTTCTAGACCTAAAATTATTATTGGTTGACTAATATAAATATAATGTGTAATTCAGACAGAAGGTAGTATTATTAGTCACCTTTGCAATCTGTGGATATTAAGGCAAAATTTGGCTGCCTGGCGATCCTGTTGGCCTCTTACTTAGAGAACCTTTTCCCCTCTTTCTCAGGACCACAGTACAGACACAAACACAACCTATTTAGAACAGACAATACTGTTTTCAAACGATTCCAAAAGTTTTACATTTCTCATGCTGTGGTAAAATATAAGCAACAGGCTTATATGAAATTTCATGGTATTCAACATGCTGAAACTGTCTTTAGCCTAAGAAAAATAAAATATTAGGAAGAATAAAACTCTAAAAATAAAATTTCTATTGCATGTTTTGTCTTGTAATGTATTTCCAAAGAATATGGCTATGTTATGGATATGTCTATATAGATATATTTCAAGTCAGTATTTTTGTAAACATAGATAATTGAGTGGTAACCATTTATATTATCTGAGCACAAAGTTGTATTGCTACCACGCATTTTAAAACTTACTCAGATGGCTAGATTCTAAAGCCTCCTCTATTTGGACTTGGCATTAAGTGCCAAGGGTAGGAGTTTATCCCCGAAAAGAACTCTAGCCCTGATTCTGATCTGAAAATTTGGATTCCTCTATAAAGCTCTTTGGCAATTAACCAAAAATATTTCATCATCTGAACAGTGTTTATCCTTTCACAATTTCTTTCACTATTTCATGCCAAAATAATAAAGTGTGTGCATGTGTGTGTGTGTGTGTGTGTGTGTGTGTGTGTGTGTGTGTGCGTGAGAGACAGAGAGAGGAAAAGTGCTGGGGTAGAGCTTAAAATGTTCACCTATTTTGGGGCGTATTCAGTGGTAGGTAAACTTTTGGGTTTATTTTCATTGTAATTCATGTAGTTCGTCCATCTGTAGATGAATCTGTTTCCTAAACAGTGAATATTATTATTTTAAACATCTTAATTGGAGTACAACCGCCCCACAATGGTGTGTTAGTTTCTGCCCTACAACAAATTGAATCAACTATACATACACATACATCCCCATGCCTCCTCCCTCCCGCGTCTCCCTCCCACTCTCCCCATTCCACCCCTCTAGGTGGTCACAGAGCACCAAGCTGATCTCCTTGTGCTATACGGCCGCTTCCCACCAGCTATCTGTCTTACATTTGGTAGTGTATATAAGTCCATGCCACTCTCTCACTTTGTCCCAGCTTACCCTGCCCCCTCCCCGTGTGCTCAAGTCCATTCTCTACATCTGCGTCTTTAGTCCTATCCTGCCCCTAGGTTCTTCAGAACCAAGTGAATATTATTTAACAATGATCATTACTCAGATGTTTTATGAAATAACCCTCACTAGTCCTGTAAAATGATTATAAGCAGAGTGCTGCCTCCAAATTGCAGAGGCAACAATGAAATAGCAAATTTCTGGGACCATGAGATAAAGCTCACTGCTGTCTAAGGCTGCTGAAGCCTAAATGATCAATCTTATAACTTTCATTCAGAAACTTAGGAAAACAAAATGCTCCAAACCCACATTCTTTCTTTGTAATCCCTGAACAGTCTTGCCTGAGTATATTATCACTTGGGTAGTTAAATGATTTGTACCAGCAGAGGTAGGTCATTCTTCCCCTTCCTATACTGTTCTAGAGAGACTGATAGCCCTTGAGCAGGAAGATAGTTGAGGCTTGTGCTAGAACACTCCATGGTGATGTCACTGACAAGAAATCTACCACACTGAGCATTTATTTCTCTTTTTCTTGCAAGAGCAAAAGGTTATACACTTTCTGAGAGTTCGCTTCACAAAAACAAGCAATACTTAAATGCACCATATTTTTGACCACCCAGAGAGGAAGCATTCTTACAGAAGAGCTCAGAGGGGATATTGTTGTTGATGAAGTGTCAATGAATCAGATACGTAGATGAAATTCTTCTGAAGCTACACAATCCTCAAATATAAGGAAGACTATTTGAGCTGAAATATGTTTTGGATTAGGAAACCTCTCCTCATTCGAGGGAAATAATTGGAAACACCTGAGGCTCACATGCCATTTCTTTTATGTGTTTCTATCGCAAATCTTTGAGGGAAGGAGGTTGGGAGGGATGCCTGCACGGGTGAGGTCGCTTATTGGCTTTAGTTCCCAGAGCCCTTTGGGTTGTACATTTATACTCCCAACTTGAACATGATAATCACAAATGGAGGCAGCTGGAAGAGATTATGAACCATGAAATGTTAACTTCGATTGTACACTCTCGGATGCTCTTATTGTCTCCTCAAATACCATGACTACACGGTTTCTATGGTAACTATGAAAAAGAGCCTACACAATTTAGCCAACGTGTGATTCAAAGATCATATATAATGGTTCAAAGTGGCATAAGGTGTTACTGAGAGTTGTCTGAAAAGGTAGAAGTCTACTCCTAAGTGTCCAAAGACTAAGGAAATAATGTGATCAGTGTGGCTTGGTGACTAGAAAATATTTATGCTTCATCATTATGCATGGGTTAAACGTGAATCCTTTTTATCTCAAACCAAAAAGCATATGACAAATTATTTTGTCAAGAAATATAACTCTTCTCAGATGCTTTAGACTGGCATATGGCTTTTCTTCCATCTTGGAAATACTAATCTGATTTTACTAGAGTTTTGTTTATTTACCATTTTAACTATTTTTAAGTGCATTCACAATATTGTGCACTATTTCCAGAACTTTTTCATCATCCTGAACAGAGATCCTGTACCCCTTAAACAACAACTGCCCATTCTCCTCTTGCTGACACCTGGTAAAAGCTATTGTACTTTCCACTTCTATGAATTTGCCTATTCTAAGTACCTCAGAAAAATGGAATCCGGATATTTGTCCTTTTGTGTCTGGCTTATTTCACTTAGCATAATATTTTCAAGGTTTACCCATGTTGTAGCATATATTAGCATTTTATTTTTTTACTGGATGAATAACATTCTATTGTGAGTATACACCATATTTTAAAAATCCATTCATCTGCTGATGGACACTTGGGTTGTTTTCACCTTTTGTCTCTTATGAATAATGCTGCTATTAATATTGGTATACGTATATGTTTGAGTTCCTTGGCGCATGACTTTTTAAAAATAAAGTATTTTTAGCCCTTGATATTTGGATATAGTAAAACAATACTCAATGGTCACCACTAATGATCATTTCTTGGGTTATTTTACATTTATTTTTTTAAACAGAATATATCGGGGGAAGGTCCTCACTTTGCTTGCTCCATCTCACCTTCCAAGACTGTATGTGCCCCATCTTCCTGCATATGTTATATAAATAAACAGAAATTAAATTAAATGAAGCTGGACTATCAGGTATAGACAGGATTTGTTATCAGAAACTGAAGCAATCATACCTCTGCGTATAAAGAGGGTCAACATTAAAAATGAGCAAGTTCATTAGTTTTTCAGCTTCTATACTCTTGATGGGTATAGAATAAGATCTCCAAAGACTAAGAAGTGAGAACTGTAAAAAAAAAAAAAAAAAAAAAAGCTCTATCAGATTATTTAATTAAAACACTCTTGGCATTTCCTATCTGTGGGATTTTGTACCTAGTATCACGAGGTGGAAGAGATTATTTTGGCTGAATTTGAGTTGCATGTAGGCAGGTTTAAAAACTCCCAACTAGGGCTTCCCTGGTGGCGCAGTGGTTGAGAGTCCACCTGACGATGCAGGGGACACGGGTTCGTGCCCTGGTCCGGGAAGATCCCACATGCCGCCGAGCTGCTGGGCCCGTGAGCCATGGCCACTGAGCCTGCGCGTCCGGGGCCTGTGCTCCGCAACGGGTGAGGCCACAACAGTGAGAGGCCCGCGTAACGCAAAAAAAAAAAAAAAAAACCACACAAAAAAAAACCTCCCAACGAGTTACTCCATAGAAACTTCATCTATTACTTCCAGCCATTAGGAAGCCAGATTAATGCATGCTTTTGGGAGACAGATTCCAAGTGTAGAGAATCAGACCACAAGATTCAGAATTCCTGAAACATGTGCTTTTGGCAAATGCATCTGCAGAAATGGCAGAAGTTGTCGACCTAACAGCTGGGCAGGGTATAAAAGACTGAAATTGGTGACTGGGAAACTTCATGTGCATAAAATGAAAACAGTGATGGTTTTGCTTTTGACCAATGTTTTTCTTCATAACAGCCTAGAAAACAAATGTTTTAACTTGTCCACAAACGCTCTCTCCTGCTTTAAGAAATGGTTACAAGGAAAGTCCTGAGGAATTATCTTTTCTAAAAGAAACCGTGTTCTCGCTTGCTGCTGGTTTCCTCTCCTGTGTGGAAGGTGGGCTGCGTCATGTCAGGCATCCTTGTGTTGTTCTCTAGACTTGGATATTATTGTCCTGAACAAAAGATAAAATGGCAATGCATGATGAAATATAATACAAACTGGAAGTATGTTGAAATTGTCATAGCAATATAAAGTAGAGATGATTAGTCTTTCCTTCTCATTAATCTTAAATTAAGACCAGGAAATAGCAGATCTAGATCATACTCACGGATGGGGGACAATAACAGGAGGGAGGAAATTATTCGCTGATGCCTCACCTTTTGCCAGGGTGAAAGGATTATTCATTTTGGTCTCCTTCTAACTCAACTCTGTAACTTGTGTGCTTGTTCAGGTTACAGTTCTTAGGCTGATTTGTGATGTGCAGGGTTTTTTGACTCCTAAGCAGCGTAGCTATTTCACTAACTGGTCATGGATACTATTTACTTCTGGTCTTAAATGCGAAGATCAAAATGATTCTGAGACAACCAGCTTAACGACTTGTTTCTAAATGTTCACACCCTTCATTTCCTTCTGGGTGGTACTTAAGTAGTACCTAATTATCTTTGCCATTAAATATCTAAGATGTGCCCCAGATTTAAAATATACCAGGTAACATGCACACAAATGTAATAAAGAAGAGAAGGTTTTGTTTCTCTGTTTGCAATTGCTTGAGCCTTCTCTAGGAGACTTAGCAGGAGACTCCTCAGCCTGAGATGTTTATGTTCTACCCTCCTCTGTGGAAATGGAGCTGGACACATCTGCATGGGCATGTAGTTTCCTCTAAACTATGGAATACCTCTGACCCAGCATGGTGAAAAGTCTAGATTGCAGACTCCCGTACGGCCTAGCCATGGCACAGTAAGGTGAGGCTGGGAAGACAGAGAACAGGGTAGCTGACAGACTTTGAAGGAAAGAAGTTATAGGAAACAAATATTCATGAAACTTCAACAGACTGAAGAATTTTGGAAATAGACCACTTTGAGGGCAGAGAGGAAAGAGATATTAGTACATATATGGAAGGAATATATAACAAAATACAGATAGAAAACACTGACATCAGAAAATTTAATCATGAGACTTTCAAAACTCCTTTAGCAAGGTTTCATATTAAAAAGTATTAAATATTAGTCCTCCTTTCTATGCTGTTAAATACTGACTCTTAAAACTCACTATTTATGAGTTAAATACTCACTCATAAAAACTGTCCCCAGGAGGAGAAATTGTTATGGAAGGTTCTTGTCAGGGTCCTAAGGAAGTTTCAGTGAAGGGCTAGAAGGACACCCTGTGTTTGAGTTGTCCAATTTGGTCCATTCAGAACAAAAAGTATTGTGTGAACACATATCAGTTCATGGAAGGATGCTATCACTGGTACTTTATTAGGAGTCCTAATATAATACACGAGGCTATCTAGTAAGTGTAAGAACTTTTGCCAGTTGTGAACTCAATATCCCATGCTTGCAATTTTGGTGCTGTCTTCCCAGGTCCTAATCAACTGCATACTCTTGAGGACAGTGCTGGTGATATGTAACAAGTCCCACTTCTGCCCCTGCCCCTTCTTCCCTCTTTATTCTCCATCCTAGATTGGCATGTCTCCTAGCAATCTGAGAGCTCATGTGGCAGGTGGGACATGCCGTGGCCTTGCTAGAGTTCTCTTCTCTAACCTGTGGAAAGTTCTGTTTCTGCAGCATTCTGTGGCATTACCCATCTGCACTGCCCATTAGTCAGACAGCAGAGCTCTCACACATTCTTCGCAAAGAACTAAGCAAAGAGAGCATTTGAGAGCTGTGACTCCAAGTGCAATGGCATGGAGTTATTCAATTGTAGCATAGACATGTGATTAGCAGTTAAAGAATCTAGAGATTGAACTTTGATTTTCTGCGTTTGTACCAATAATTGACACTCTTAACTTAGCAATTTTGGAAATAGGACTTGAATCTTTTTTGGTGTATGGAGAAGTCTTAAGATTCTCACGGTAGCCAACTCCTTTTTTGTAGCTCAAGACAATCTTTATTTATTTATTTATTTATTTTTGGTTGCATTGGGTCTTCATTGCTGCAAGCGGGCTTTCTCCAATTGCAGCGAGCGGGGGCTACTCTTCATTGTGCGAGCTTCTTATTGTGGTGGCTTGTCTTGTTGTGGAGCACGGGCTCTAGGTGCGTGGGCTTCAGTAGTTGTGGCATGTGGGCTCAGTAGTTGTGGCACGTGGGCTCTAGAGTGCAGGCTCAGTAGTTGTGGTGCACGGGCTTAGCTGCTCTGCGGCATGTGGGATCTTCCCGGACCAGGGCTTGAACCCATGCCCCCTGCATTGGCAGGCGGATTCTCAACCACTGCACCACCAGGGAAGTCCCAATCAAGACAATCTTAATGCTTGATTAGCAGAGTGATGTGGAATAGCGTTGGCA